AAAGCGACCCAACAGGAACAAGAAGAAGAGGCGCGCAGCGGGCAAGGTGGATCGACCAAGTAGAAGGCGACCTGCGGACCCTTCGCAGACTACGAGGCTGGCGAAGTGTGGCCATGGATTGAGTAGAGTGGAGACGACAACAAGCCCATAGTATGATTGGTAAGGTAAGGTATGGATATTGGCGGAACGCGGACGACGTGCAGATGCCGAATATCAGAATGCCGAAATGCCGGTATTAAAAAAAATTTCCGTCTATTGTAGGGTATTTTACAGTTTAATAAAAACAGAGGACTGCCTTCTTAGATTCCAAAATTGCATCGGACATCGGTTTTGGACCTCTACATATCGTCCCCGTTTCGAAAATACCCATATTGTGGGAGTATTTGACAGTACTTTCGAGTTTATCTGTAACCGAAAGTCGCCATCTTGGAATTCAATATGGCATCGGTCAGCAATTGCCAGTTCCTACACATTTAGAAAAAAACTAATTTTACACGTGACGGAATCCATCTTTGACAGATGAGATGAGACGTAAACAAACATGTCATGTAATATTAAGTGCTCCGAGACTGAAAAGTTCGTTGCTCGACAAAAAGTACGTTTGATTAATGTAAGTAATGTAAATTTATGTCAAAATGACGCTCGTATATGTTACTCTTAGAGCACCTAAATTTACATGAATTTGTCTAAGTGTGTAGCTGTCACCTCGATTCCAAAAATACCCATATTGATGGGTATTTGATAGTATTTCCCATTTTTCCTGTAACTGGAAGCCGCCATCTTGGATTTCAAGACATTCATTTCTGATCTCTAGACGTCATTCCGTTTCCGAAAGTTCCCATATAAAAGGGTATTCAACCGTTTTCCCCACTTTTTCAGAAACTGGAAACCACCATCTTGGATTTCAAATTGGCGTCGGACTTCGATTTTCGGTCTTCAGACGACACCCTAATTCTGAAATGGGGTATTTGACAGTATTTCCTGCTTTTCCAGAAACTGGATACAGCCATCTTGAATTTCAAGATGGCTTCGGACTTCGATTTATGGTCTCTAGAAGTCATCCTAATTCCCAAAATTATTCCCATTCGGCAGTATTTCCACTTTTTCTGAAATCTGAAGCCGCCATCTTGGATTTCAAGATGGTGTCGGACATCGGTTTCCGGTCTCTATACGTCACCCTTACAGCAAAAAAATAATATTGATGTCACATCAAAGTGGATGCACTTCAATCGTGTCAATAATTTGGTGTAATATTACTTGCCAAAAAGGTCAAAATTATCATTAATACAGTGCACGAACTGATTGCATTTGTTTATTTTTGTGGCCATAAAAATTACATGAGGTTTTCGACATGATTGCAGCATAGAGGTAAATCTAAGACCAGAAGGTCCCGAAGAAACGTACTCAACTGTTTGGCTCAGCTCTGGTACTCTCTTCGGTCCCAAGCAAATCGATGCACCCCTCGAAAGATAGGAAAATCCACGAACCCCTCATTTTATCTTTCAAACTTTCATAGAGAATCGAAACAAACATAGAATAGAATTTTGACTAGAATGGGGTACGTTAATTGATTTGCTTGGGACCAAATCGATTTGCTTGGGACCAATAGGCTAGTCAAGTAGTGAGCCGATTTCCACCAGTTGATTGAAGTGCATCCTCTTGGATGTAATATTAAAATTTATTTTTTGCTGCGCTAATTAAAAAATACAAATAATGAAGGGTATTTCACGATATTCCCCACTTTTTCTGAAATTGAAAGCCGCCATCTTGGATTTCAGAATGGTGTCAGACAATGAAATCCAGTCTCTAGACGTCACCCTGATTCCGAAAATACGCATTAGACTGGCCCACATTTATATGGGAGATTTTTTTTTAATTTTTTTTTTTCACGGGCCAACCCCAGATTTGTGCCATTAGGTGCGAAAACCACACTCTGAAAATTTCAGCTCATTGCGATGTAACACGAGCTGGCGCTTTTGGCGTAAAGTTCATATGGAGATTTTGGTTGAAATTTATGGAGAAATAACATCCCTTCACAATTTCACCATACAACTGGTTCAGCAAACTCGATTAAGCTCAGAATGTCAGCACATGTAGCTTAATATATAAGAAACAACTTTGCTTAAGACAGCATCATGATTCAAGTTAGTATTATGGAGATATTCATTTTTGAATTTATATGTGTTTGCAACAAAATACAGGCAGCTTATGCAACGTCTCAACTAGATTACCACTAAAAAAATGATAGTTCATATTTTCCACAGGCCAACATCCAGATTCGTGTCAGTAGGTGAGATAACCACCCTCTGAATAGCTCAGCTGTTTTTGACGTAACACGAGCTGTTGCTTTTTGTGTAATATTTACATAGGGGATTACGTTGAAATTTTCATATACAAAATGCTCATATACATTCAAAAGCAAATATCTTCAAGAAACTAACCGGATTCATAATGCAAAGTTCAGCAAAGTTGTTACTCATTGTTTGAATTACATGTTTTGAAAATCTGAATCAAATCGAGAATGAGGAAACTATTTTATGATCGATAGGGTGTAGGAGTATCATGTATTTTATCCAAAATCCCCATACAAAACTCAAACTAAAAGCGCCAGCTCATCCTACAACCAAATGAGCTAAAACTTTCAGATAATGGTTTTCTCACCTAAAGGTACAAATCCAGAGGTTGGCCCGTGGAAAATTAGAACTTTGTGGGCTAGTCTATGGTAGGGTATTTGACAGTATTTCTCACTTTTTTTTCTGAAACTGGAAGCTACCATCTTTGATTTCAAAATGACGTCGGATTTCGATATGCGATCTCTAGACGTCATTCCAATTCCAAAAATTCGTATATTGAAGGGTATTTGATAAAAAAAAAACTTTTCTGAAACCAGAAACCTCCATCTTGGATGTAAAAATGTCATCGGAAATATATGTCCGGTCTTCAGACGTCATCCTGATTCCAAAAATACCCATATTGAAGGGTATTTGTTAGTATTTCCCATTTTTTCTGAAATCGGAAGTCGCCATCATGGATGGTGTCGGACATAGATTTCCGGTCTCTAGACCTCAACATTATTTCGAAAATACCTACATTGAAGGGCATTTGATAGTCCCACTTTTCAGAAATTGGAAGCCACCATTTTGGATTTCAAAATGGCGTCGGACTTCGATTTCTGGTTTTTAGACGTCACTTCGATTCTCAAAATACCCATATTGAAGGGTATTTGGCAGTATTTCCAACCTTTTTTTTTAAATCTGGCATCCGTATTAGAATGGAAGGATTTTTGTGATGCTCCTTTTTAAATGATATTTTAAATTTGATTAGTTGACAAAGGAAATGAGACAGAACCAGTCTTGTAAGCGGTCACCGTAGTCGACACATTTTCTGTGATAATCGACTGCCTTTGCTTCCGACACTTGCAAAACAAGATATCAAATAACAGTATCAAACTAGAATGTCATATGACAGGCTCTGTCATACGAAATTTTCGCCGAAGACCGTCACGAATGTATGTATTTTAGTTTTTCTCATAATAAGAGCTGCTAATGTTGTGCTTGTGTGAATTCTGAAAATAGCAAGCAACGATGTCCTAGTAATAGCATTTCTGATCAGAAATGGTTTATTTTACACCAAATTGAGGAATTAGAACGAAATCACACATGTCATATGATAGTTATTTGATAATTTTCTTTTTGCTGGAATGTTGTTCTACCCTTGGTGTTGTGTGAGAGAGACAACGGTAGAGCACGATAGTACGAATACAAACAGACTGTCACGCACGACAACGAAGCGAGTGTAGTAAAAAACGTCAACAGTTTCAACCCCTGGACAGAACCCACTCGGAAATGAACGAAGAGATTTGCTTTGGGGTATATATGTAGTTGTGTTGAGCTCAGAGTCGAGAGTGTGATCATTCAAAAGCCCACACTTCATACGTTTGGATGTATGTAGTCCATGTTTATACTAAGTGTGTATTCTCTCGCTTTATACCAAACTATGCGTCGGTTAGGAGAGTTATAATGTAGAGACACTTCTAATCTATTTAGATTCGAAATGTTTTGAGTGTAGAAGAAATGTGTAGCGAACGTGGAGTACCATCAAATACTGAAACAGATCTTCAACGAAAGCGGAAGGACGAACTAGCAACGATGGCTTGCTGAGCTAAAGAAGGGTTGCATGAGCACAGCCCGTGGTTTGTGGTTTGTAGACAGTCCCTGTCAGGGCTGGTAAATGTCATTTTCAATGATAGATCTCACGCGATACTTACAGAGATACTTCTGTCACTATCATCGGATGAGAAAACAAAGATAGAGATTTTCTTCAAAATCTCATCAATATTTTTGTCAAGACAGAACGTGACAGTGTTGTGTTCATCGTAATTGCTGGCTCTTTTATTGCTATTAAAGTTACTTGTACCGAGGAAATCTTAATAATATATTCACTCTACCGATTAAATATGGTTGCTTGCTTAAATTTATTTCAATCAGTTAGAAATGTCGATGTCAAAACCGCATAAGAATTATTCTCATGAGTGCTTGGTCATTGGAAAATGACAAGAAAGTTAATGATAGGTAGTTTCATCTCGTGATAGTGAGAGGACCTGTTTTCTCATTGTCACATGACGGCCGTGATATTTACCAGCTCTGATCACATCTCTTACGTATTCCACAACAAACCTTTTTTCTAGTAAAATTATTCGAAGAATCTATTTATCGCAAGTACCAAAGCAAAAGTACATATTAGGGTCGTTCAAATTATAAAATTATCTTAAATCCAAAACTCCACCACTTTAATAAGTTCTCTACCGAATGGCCTTCAAAAAACTGCGAAACTGGTATTCGGGACTACCAACAAATTTGACTTATGTTTGTAGGCATCACTTTTTTCGCCCAACATTTTAGAAATTGATGACCGACCCTAGCCGGCAAAAGTCACAATCTTCTGCTCGTAAAGTTGTGCCAATTTAAATCCCTTTTCCCATGCTTTCACTCTTTTCGCAGCACGACGTTCCACCGTACAAGCACGCCTTCATCGTGATTAGCCAGCCCAAAGGCAATCTGGTGTGGATCTCAACGGAAGCTTCCACAGGAACCGTCGCCAGTGCCACCAGCGACAAGGACAAAAAGTACCGACCTCGGCTGCACACCTGGAACGAGTGCAACAGCGTACAGGTATGTGCCAAAATATTTAACATTCCCAACCCAGTTTATGTGCTTCAATCCTTAGTTAATAGTGATGTGTGCTCCCATTTTACGAGTTCACAAAAATGTACAGAAATTACCTTCCATCTCCGGCAAGCTCGAATTTGACCTGCTGTAATTCGACGACGGCGACCATGTTGACTCCCGTTACTGACTGCACCGACCTGTGACAGTACAAAGAGAACAATTTAAGCCCTCTACTTGAGATGCAAATCCGGAAAATTACACGGTACTCAATCGAGGGATTTTTCCAACTGATTCAAATTCAGGACCACCGCCCAACCAATCCCAATCCTTTACTTTACATCGAACACGAAACACAACACCCACCACGACGAGCATTACGATTACATACACACTTAGTCTGCTAGTCTACAACTGCTGCAGCCCGGCAATAATAAAGATAGTAACCACATTGTAGTAATAAAACTAGACTTACCTTCCATGTGCCACCAGCCAACCAACCAGGAATCCAAGTTTGGAGTTGCCAAAAAAAGGTACAGGGTTGTAGGTTTTGTTACAATCAGTGAAAAGGACGACGGGACGGTTGAAAGTTTATGTGCTTTCACCTCTCTTTATCCTTGCTTCCGCATAGCATAAAGGGGTGCTCTCCAGGGGTAGGGGGTGGGTGCTTATCGTTCGTCTAGTTTAGATAAGCTCTTAGCCATAGGAATCAAGAATGGCAAACGTTAATGCCGTTGTGTTCACCGGGGCGGAAGTAAATTGTCGCTCCATGTGATTATTAACAAGGAATTATGTGATTTCGGTATTATTATTTTTTTGACTCGGTGAGGTTATCTAATCTTGTTCAGAAATGTAATGCTCTCAATTATGTACGTGATTGTAAGTATTAATTAGCAGCTTCTAACCTTTCACCTTTATGAGTACTATAAAAGAATAAGTTTATTAGTTCTATCTAATGAGGACGGGGGTTGATGTAGAGCCTGTTTTTTTTATATATGCATAGGGTAAATGACGTCTACGGTTGGCAGTGACTGTTTTCAGTAACCAACATAAATACGTCCATTGAACTGGGTTTTCACACCACAACATTTAACTGAGTGTCCCAAGAAACAATTTAACAGCCATTTGGCTTTAACTCTAATTTATTGTGGTTTTATAACGGCAATAAGTAATCTTTTGAGTTTAAATACAGCATTTAAAAGTGTAAAACATTCTTGATTAGTAGTTCAGCTTTATGCTGTTTTAAAAACCTTTTAAAGCCGACGAGAAAATCAGAAAGTATCTGGTTTTAAAAATGTAAATCAATCGGTAAGTGTCTTAAAAAAATGTTCTGGATTCCTCGGGGGATTATTTCCAAACAGGTGCCAAATGAAAGGTAAAAACTATAAGGAATAGCCCTATGGGTTGTACGCAATGGTGACGTAAGACCACGTAGTCTTATATAATAAATGTTATTTGTTAACTGCAGCAGGTGCTTGTGTTTTGTGTTATCTTTTTATACTCTTTAGTATGACGCGCTTGATATAGATGGCCCACAGCGACTCACAAAAAGCTACTGATTATGACCAATAGCGGTGCGGCTTCTTCCTCCTTCTATGGATGCTCATGTGGGCTGAAGCTCGCTGCTTGCAGGCAGCCTTTCGTTGTGTACTGGAGAACACCACCACTTACCACGCGGTGATTTAATAAACAACGTTTGGAGAAACCGGATGGAATTCAACTTTGAAATCTGTTCTAGGGAAATCGCTTTACGCAATTATTCGGTGATAATTTTAATTATCATAGCAACAGTTTCACATTCGTGCAATTTTCAATAGTGACATTTTGAAAAATGGTCAATTCTTGAATTCAACAGATGCGTGGAAATATTTCTGATCGATTGGTGATAAAATTATTTAAATTGGTCCAGGGGTAGCTGAGTTATTACGTTTAAAATCTTTCATAATTTTGTTACATGTTCCATTTTCGGTTTTCACAAAGTGTACCCCCATATAGAAATCACAGTAATAAAGTTTCTCCATATACACATCGTGTTTAAAAGCTGATCATTTCCTACACAAATCTATTTAACTGACTTTAAGTTTACAGTGGCAGAGACCAGAACATTTTCTTCGCTATGTGTAAAGCTATAATTTCACAAAAAATCGGCCTAGTGACTATTTGGCCTAATGACCTTCGGTCTAGAGACCTTCGGCCTAATGACTCAACATCCCTAAAAATGTCTACAAATCCAGGATTTGAAACCTTCCAACTCTATACATTACATTCTCTTAAATTCCTAGAACCATAAAAATTAGCCATACACACTTAGTTTTTTCTACCGAGCTCGGCTGTGCAAATCTCGGCAAAATAAGTTTCACTGAGATCTCAGCAAAAGTGACATTTGATTGCTGAGTCTCGGATAATGCTTAGCTGAATCTCAGCAGACAAATGAAATGTTTGCCGATATCTCAGTAAAACTTTTTTTGCCGAGATTTGCACAGCCGATCTCGGTAGAAAAATCTAAGTGTGTAGCATCGCTCTCTTTTCTAGTTTCTAAAAGTTCCACTAGACTCGCTTTATTTTTTTAATAAGACCTTCCAGCAATTCAACCCAAACCGTCAACAAAAGTGAATACAGCCAAAGCTATGAGCATTACCGTTGAAAAGGCTAAGCTGATAAGCATAGAAACGAACACAACCATGCCCATCTACACTGTGTCACAAATCGACCATAAGCAAAAAAAAAGCGTCACCATTGCGTAGACAGCTCGCAAACAGAACCATAGTCACAATGTCACACTCAGAGGTGGATGACAGTCACAAGCATACACACAACACGACACGACAGCATTTAGCACAAAAACCTGTGCAAATACACAATCTACGATGACGACGACGACGACGACGACGACGACGACGCAAGTTGGATGATTTAGCAGGTCGTCGTCGTCATGCACCTGATTCCCTCCTCTCACCCACTCCTCACCATCTTATGTAAGGGCGCATCCTTTTTCCGACTACCAACGAAGGCGCGGCAGAGCGAAGCATTGCCGCTTAAACACACAACGACTGACGAGCAAACATTTAACTTCCTTTCTGGGAAACTCCGCACCTCCAGCGACGACGATGACGACACAATTCGAGAACGTTGATCAAAAACAGCAGCGCAGGCAAAAGGCAACTCCGGAAAAAAAAATCGCAACTAAGCGAAAGCTGCTTGCCAAACAACGTCAGATTGTCTTCTGCCCTCCGTCTGCCCTCGCCTCACTCTATACATATGTAATGTAGGCATTGCGTTACAATGCGATTTTCTCTGAAGTTGTAAACGATTTTCATTTTGTTTTCGTTGTTGTTGACGTTGACTCCCTCCTCCTTCGTTTCGTGCGTGGCGTTTTTGATCAGTGTTTTTCTGTTTGGGTTTCCTTTAGCGTTCAGTAGTTATTTTTTTGTTCAATGATTTCCTTGTAGATAATAAATGATAGCATTTTCTTCTAGGATGGTTTACATTCTTTCCAAATTGCCTTTAATACGTTGGTTCTAGTTCGGTGCATGAAATATAAAATAATGAAAGCTCAAAAACAAACATATTGAGAGTTGTCTGAGGGTAACTGTTTTAAGGTAAAAATAAAATATCTCAAAGCCCTGAACTTGAACTTGAACAAATTATTCACTGAAAATAAGAAATTGGCAGATGTATTTTGAGTTACACGATTCTGGGCTGAGCTCCCACTGTTTACTTTCCCACAGTATACGTAAATCGGCATCAAACGCCACAACAAATGCGTTCAATTAGCCGATTTTCATACGACTGTGCTGTGCTCATCATCATAGACCGACCAGAGAGGACGTCCCATTCGGTGACGGAAATGATGATGCAGGGCGATAGGATCTGTGAGCCTAAAATAGCAGAATCAGTAGCAGACACAAGTGGTTAAACCGATAGAAGCGAATGCAGTGCAGCTGCAGCTCGTCCCATCACTGCCATTCGTTGAGCGGATTTGGGATCAATTTCAGCTTTCCCCATCGGCATTCGTTCGCAGAGTGGACATTTGTACACTTTGAATTGCAAATTTTCCGTACAGCTACACGAGGAGTAAGGACGGTAGTGAGTGAGTGGTATGTAGCTGAGAGCGATTTTTCATAGAAGTTAAATGTCATTTAACTGAATTTCAAACTACCGTGGCCGCACTCGAAGAGAGTTCACTAATGGAAGCTAGTTTGCATTATTCTGTTTAAACTGACCCCGTCGCCTATTCATCAATAGCTGGGGGAAAAAAAATGAAACAAACAGCAATATATCCCCTTGGGCATCGTTCCAATTGCGATGCGAGTTCCGACCAAGTGGACCACCAACCGGGCCCGGGAGGGATTGCCTCAATCGATTTCGATGCCCATTCGATGATTAATATCCACATTCATACACGAACACACACGACGGCCAGTTGATTTGTGGTCACAATGAATCAGGCTGGCCGTTCGGAAGGAAATAGCTAATTGTGGCTCCACAAATACTTATGGGATGTCCGTAAATTTGATTTACTGTAAATTGCTAGCGCGTGCGAGCAAAGTTCACTCCTTCGAATGGAAATTCACGGCACGATTTTGTATGCACAAATCAATGTTGCTGTCAAATTGTAGATTAAATTTTCAATTGATGTATGCTACAACCAACCGGTGGAAACTAACGTTTTTAAATTGGCTCACTACTTGACTAGCCTATTGGTCCCAAGCTAATCGATTAACGTACCCCATTCTAGTCGAAATTCTAGTACTATGTTTGTTTTGATTCGCTATGAAAGTTTGACAGATACAATGAGGGGTTCGTGGATTTTCCTATGTTTCGAGGGGTGCATCGATTAGCTTGGGACCGAAGAGAGTACCAGAGCTGAGCCAAAAAGTTGAGCACGTTTCTTCGGAAACTTCTGGTCTTAGCGTTACCATAGAGGTACCGTTTCTTAAAACGAACATATCCGATCTTCTTTTATTTAAATAATCTATTCGGGTTATTTATATTAAAAACTCTTA